GCAGAGCACAAGACTGCAAAATCCTGTGTCCGATGCATGGCATGCAATGTGTACCTGTGCTTGCAAAGTGAACGCAACTGCTTTGCAGCATTTCACACTTCCCAATAGGGCTCTTCCAAACAGGCAGACAGATTGCTTTCTAGAAAAAGAGAGGGAGCTAGTTTGAAAAAAGCCCCAGTTCATAAGCTGTTCAGCAGAATTTTACTGTTTTAGGACTATTAATAATATTTGCCATTATTTGTTCTAGTATTGTATTTATCAATTCAATTCAGCCATATTGAAGGCTTAAAATAGACAGTTTACACAGTATTTTGCGGTTTTATTTATGTATAGCCAATTTTTTGTCATGTGGATGAATGAAGAAAAAGGGAACCCAAATTGCAGGACTGAAAATCAAGCTAAATTTAATAAAATAAATCCAAGGTAATGTAAAAACAGAACTGAAGACAGGACAAACGTTGTGGAGACAATGGACGGACAACAAGTGAGGAAGGGCACAGGGTATATATACACACACAGGGACACACAGGTGAATCACATTAGGGCGGGGCAACAATCAACAGGACAGGCAGGATTCAAACTCAACCAGGTCAAAATGTCCACACCATGACATTTTTAGGCTTTGAAGATAGAGCTGTTTGGATTTTATGTCTAACTTTGATGTTTACATTTTTCAAATAAACTGTTATATACTATTTTAGACCAATGGAGTCTATTTGTATTGTATAGTAAGGTCGACCCACTGTACTCATATGAGGACATTGATTTTTGAGAGAAGTACTAATTGGATCACGCTGAAATTTTGAATTTCAACTAATTAGGACCTTCCGGCCTCAAAGAGCATACATTTTCTCTTTAGGTTATGAGAGACCCACTGTCCTCATACGAGGACATGTTTTTTCTCAAAAACTACTTCCTGTACAAAATCACAATTTAGGTATTATACTTATTGGGTCCTACTTATCCTAAATAGCAAAAAAATATATAAAATGCACACCAGACAAATGCTCGGGTCTCAGGAGGATAAGTCCTGCAGAATAGCAGTGATCTTTATTGGGTCGCTCCGTTCTTCAGCCGGGCGATATTTAATTTCTTCGCGAGCCTCCCCTTCCAAATGGTCAAAAAGGAAAAACGCGCGGTCAGCTGCAGTCAAATGTCTGGCCCTCATACACGCTTCTGCCTCCTCCAACCACTCGCCTAGGCTTATACCGTTCCTACCCCGAAACATTGGGCATCTACGGTCACGTGGAACAAACACGAGGCGGTCTGCGCTCACATTAGTATGTGGAGGGGCAACAGTTTCAGTCGACAAAGTGGACGACCCAGCCCCTGAATTAGAGGAAGACTGGGTACATTCTCGTCGCAAGCGTTCATTGTCGGCCCTCAATTCGGCCAGCGCTTCCTGCAGTTCTCTAATCTGCTCGTTATCCATGGCTGCAAAAAGATGAATGCTCTAGGGGGTTGCTGCTGCTGGTTGCTTCCCAAAAACTCCAATTCTGTTGACAGATAAAAGGTGAATAAATAATGTACATTAATGGAACAACTATGATGCAGGAGAATAAATAGACAAGCTAAACAGTAGCAAAAAAAAATAAAGTACTTCTATGCATATAATTAAATCAGAAACATGCAAAAATATAGAAAACCAAAATCACAAACACTTCATGCAATGCAAATTAGGCACACAAAAAATGTCACATCAAATGAAAAAAAAATACTATACATATAATACTTTCCTTTCCCACTGTAGCGATTGCCCTTTAAACCCAATGCACCAGAGCTGCTGCATGCATACAAATATTCACCACGCACAATTATTCACAAAGACCAACAATGCTTAAATTTATAAAATGCCTCTATCCAACGTCAGTCCATCCTGCCAGCCAACGCCACGTTTGTAATAGTCGAGACTATGAATTTGGGAAGTTAGCCTAATTAAATAGAATATTATTAGCAACGCCACCCAGTATACGGGGACTGGGACCCGTTAAGGACAGAAATAATAAAGGGCACACAGATTCGTGGACTGATAGGAATAGGAGGCAATATAGTACAAAAACACAATTTATTTGACAGTTTTTTTTAAAGGACAGATCATTCAACGACGCCGGAATCTCCACTCTCACTGTAAAATGTGACTCAGTTATTATTCGTTGGCCACACTGAGGCCCATTGCTCCAACCAGCAGCAGCGATCCCGCAGCAGCCCCCGCCAGGCCCAAACGCCTCCGAAGAACCCACGCGCCTCCGTGACCCCGCACTGAGGCCCGTAGGGCGCGCGTGGTTATAGTCTGTGGTAGCAGTGAGGGTGGTGCGTTTCTCCAGGTTCCAGAAGGGGAGACCCGCGCAGAGCTAAATGAAATAATTAAATTTGATATGAATTAAAATAATAAACCTATATGAGTGGTGCAGTATACCCACATGCAGCACTCCAAGGATCCCGCGTACAAGCCACTAGGAGCCACAGAGGCCCGAGACGCGCACATACAAAGCCTAGACAGGATATATATTTATAGGTGACAATAAGAACTAGATTTATTTTAAATGCTTACCAGTACTAGAACAGGATTGCGTCTGCAGTAAAGGGTGCCTGCCCGTGTCCCTAAGAACAACTACATTTCAATAACGACTCAAAACAAAGTTAGAAAGCCGGCTCTAACACTCACCAAGAGATCAGAGCGCTGCACCTGTGGAGGGGTTGCGCAATCGCCACGCTCTGTCCCTACTCCACAGCTGTGCCGGGATCATGGACAATCTAAAAGAGACTACATTAAGATATTGTGCCAAATAAAGCCACAAGGCCGGCCGCAAGCACTCACCGGAACGCAGTTTGAAATCAGCGTGCCCGCTGGGGCACAAAGCCGGTGTAGGGGCTGGATCCAAAGCAAACAGGTGCTTTGGACGCCACCAGCGAGCAGCGTCCCGACGTCAGAGGCGAGGCAAAACAGGAGTGCATGGGAAAAGGGCTGTCCTTAAATACTGCGAGCCAGAGCGCTGATAGGAGCGCTCACGAAAAACAGGTGTACCACCACATATATACTGTATGAAGATTTTTTTATTCCTGTGCAACACATACTGTAATTTGACACACAATATCAAGTCCCCCACCACACTTCATCCCCCACTCCCCACCACCCGCCACACTGACCCCCCTCATCTGAGCTTTAGAAGCGTGCTCAGGCCCACCTCTCTCAACCGTGCTCAGGCCCACTTGCAGCAACCGTGCCAAAGCTCAGTTGCCGCGGTCACATAGCACCTAAAGCCCGGAACTAATCGCAAAGTGGGCCCCAGGCACACTTTAACCGGACTTTAAGGTGTTCATGTGACCGCAGCCTAAGACCAAATTCATGTGGGCTACCCAGAAATGTTCCCCATGGAACTCAAAGTAAACAAAAACAGCTCGACCTCAGCTGACAGAGAACCTAGAGCTTTCATAAAGGGTTGGATTTTGTGGGGATCTGAACTTTTTTTCAAATCCGTCGGTTTTCTTTAAATCCACACTTTAGTGCAACAAACTCTGCTTGTTTTCTCCCCGCTCCAGGTCCGCTCTAGCCTGGTCGTACCACACCTTAGTACAAATTACATTTCATACTAAGGTCTGGATTTGCTCCATTGAGCTCCGTGAACAGGTGGGAGGGGTTAACTCCTTTTGCAGATTGAAACGATTGGATCAGAGTTCACCGTGACGTATGTAATGCGCCCGAGTGTGTTGTTAGCATTTAGCATTTAGCCTAGCCATCTCCTTTGCCACAAACGGAGCCCGTGGGGAGTAGCGCCACAATCTTTCCCAACGATTACATTTGCTAAACATTCAATTCCTTGATAGAACCAGACCGGATTACTTTACTATCGCATTCTTCGCCATTGCCAAACTACAACCTGCCCGTTCGGCGCAAACTCTTGACGTCACCGGCACCGACCTACAACCCCCGCCTTCCGCGCTCTCTGATTAGCCGGTCGAAATACGACCGATTGTATTCGCTAACACAGGGACCAGACCCAGACGTTACATGCAGTGAAAATATGATTGAGTGGAGTTTACGGATAGATAAGGCCAGGCTAGCTCCGCTCTGATCAGCAGCTCTGATTGGTCAGAACGTGGGCGTGCTCCTTTGTGCACATGTATGAGAGCCATACACACACACACGCTCGTTTGTATTTGGCACAAAGCATCATGGGAGGTCGTCCACTGCGCAGAACCATGAGGACCAGAGAAATGGACCTCCAGCAGTGGAAACATGACTATTGTACTATGATTCTGCTGCACAGAAACCGAACGCTGAGCCTTTGGTGCAAATCAACATATTATATTCTTTACTTTTCAACAACAGAAAAAAATCATAATCTAGGAACACATGACGATGAATGTGATCAAGCCACTTTGCGTTTTATGATTACAAATGAATAAATGTATATCATTAGTGTTATTGCCAACAGCAATAATATAGTGGACCAACACAACACAACAGTCCTGTAAAAAAGAGAGAGAATACTTATGCAATTCAATGATCTTTATTTACAATTCATGTATACACTTCCATCAACTTAACTGATTATGGTCAAGTTTATGGATATTGTGTTTTGAGAAAGACAATTACATTCAATGCATTTTAGTGCTGAGTTTTATGTCAACATTTAGGGCAACAAGACAGATAAATGTAAACACAAATGATCCGGTTGAGATGAGAGAGATAAGCCCTCTTTGCGTGATGCCACGTCTGGGATAGAGAGAAGAGGCTTTGGTGATGGTTTGGATCATGGAATTCTTTTTCCATGAGACAAACATGTCAACTGTGGTCCAACGTCAACACTTTGAACCACGGTCTTCTGCTGGCAGTATGTGGCAATAAATATATTACCCCTGCCTTGAAGATCCTAATATCTGCAGACCAAGAGACAGTGGACCACAAAGGTATGTGACAATTGCTGATTGTCAGTAACTGGTGAATACCTTCTTCCCCCACTGTTCTGTGCTGCGATGGTATTACAGTGTTTTAGGGTTTAGAAGAAAGCAGGAGTCTCATCAAAGCCACAGTAACAGCACGCATCTTCACTCCAGACCGAACGGCCGAGAAGGAAGCCCCCGGTGGCAGACACAGTCACTGCACTCAACCCGATGAGTCCCCTGATGAGATATTTGCCTATTGTTCTGTAAGCAGATGTTTCCACACCTTTCTCCTCAGAAACAAAGTCCAGGGCATCAAAGAAAGACTCATTTTCCAGATCCTTCTTGGTATTTTCCTCCTGGTATGACTGATCCTTGAAAACCATCTCTGCTGTGAGAGAGGTGATACGGTCCTGCAAAGCTTTCCTGTAAATCTCAAAGTCTGACATCAGACTTTGATTTGTCGTAATAATTTTGTCTTTATCTATCAAGGACTGCTGCAGCCCCTCCATCTGCTCCTGAAGAGAACTGACCTTTAAGGTGTAGTCTTTGGTTATTTTGGTAATTTCCTCCACAGAGGACTGATCCTTGAAGACCATCTCTGCCTGGAGAGAGCTGTTACGGTCTCTCAAAGTCTTCATGTCTTTCTGGAGTTTGTGAATATGAACTCTGAGTAAATCTACAGTCGGATTATCCTCCAGTTCATCTGTATTCGCAAAGGGAAGTTCTGTGGCCAGGTTTAGTGACTCTACCTCAGCCTTAATGTTATTTTCGAGTTCTAACATTCTACTTTGAGTTGATGCAATCATTTCATCCTTTTCTCTTGAGGACTGCTGCAGCCCCTCCATCTGCTCCTGAAGAGCTCTGACCTTTAAGGTACAATCCTTTGATATTTTGGCCTTTTCCTCCACATACAACTGATCTTTGTGGACCATCTCTGCTGTGAGAGAGGTGATACGGTCACTCAAAGTTTCCCTGTCTAGCTCCAGTTCTAACGTTCTACTTTGATTTGCTGCAATAATTTGGTCCTTATTTATTAAGGACTCCTGCAGCCCTTCCATCTGCTCCTGAAGCATACTCACCTTAGAGATACAGTCGTTGGATATTTTGGTCATTTCCTCCACATACAACTGATCCTTGTGGACCATCTCTGCTGTGAGAGAGATGTTACGGTCACTCAAAGTGTTGACATCCATCTCGAGTTTGTGAATACATTCTCTCAGTGAGACTACAACCGGACTATCCTCCAGTTCTGTGAGCTGATAGTTTTGATACTCCAACTTTGTACTCAACTCACAAATTGTTTGGTCCTTTTCTAGTCGGCACTGATGCAGCTCCTTTATCTGGTCCTTAAGGTTGCTTCTCTCCAATATAAACTCTTTGGATTTTTTGGTAATTTCCTCCACAGAGGACTGCTCCTTGAAAACCATCTCTGCCTGGAGAGAGCTGTTACGGTCTCTCAAAGTCTTCATGTCTTTCTGGAGTTTGTGAATATGAACTCTGAGTAAATCTACAGTCGGATTATCCTCCAGTTCATCTGTATTCGCAAAGGGAAGTTCTGTGGCCAGGTTTAGTGACTCTACCTCAGCCTTAATGTTATTTTCGAGTTCTAACATTCTACTTTGAGTTGATGAAATCATTTCATCCTTTTCTCTTGAGGACTGCTGCAGCCCCTCCATCTGCTCCTGAAGAGCTCTGACCTTTAAGGTACAATCCTTTGATATTTTGGCCTTTTCCTCCACATACAACTGATCTTTGTGGACCATCTCTGCTGTGAGAGAGGTGATACGGTCACTCAAAGTTTCCCTGTCTAGCTCCAGTTCTAATGTTCTACTTTGATTTGCTGCAATAATTTGGTCCTTATTTATTAAGGACTGCTGCAGCCCTTCCATCTGCTCCTGAAGAGCTGTGACCTTTAAGGTACAGTCTTTGGTTATTTTGGTCCTTTCCTCCACGTGCCCCTGATCCTTGAGGGCCATCTCTGCTGTGAGAGAAGTGTTACGGCCCCTCAAAGTGTTAACCTCTTCCTCGAGTTCTAACCTTTTGCTTTTGCTTGTCGCAATGAATTGGTCCCTTATCAAAAACGACTGCTGCAGCTTCTCGAGTAGCTGTTCTTGTGCCACAACTTTCTCCATTAGCTTCTCAGCTTTGTATGGAAGTTCCCTCGTTTTGACCACACAGTCTTTGAGAATGTCACAAACCTCTTCATTAACACTGTTGAAGTCTTGTTTCATCTCAGAGAGGAGCTTAGCAGCACAGGCCTGACTCTTTTCCTGTTGCTTTCTCTCCTGCTGCTGAGATGTCGTCTGCTCCTCTCTGGTGATGTGGGTCCTCGCACATTCCTCTCTCAATTTTCCGATCTGGTACTCGAGCACATTGATCCTCGCAATATAAATATCAATCTTGTGTTGTACACATGTACTGCTATTACTCTCCATGACTACTGATGTTAAATCAACGGAGATATGTGCCTACGGCTGTCTGTGCCCCACCCACTGTGAAGCAGAGAAGTCTCTGTCCAAGACGGACACCCAAAGGACTCTCTCTGCAGGGCCAGACCTATATGTGTTCAAGACATAGAGGTTGCCTAGCAACGAGCTTTGAAGTCATTTCATTCCAGAATTCCAATCACATCACAGATTGCTGCCATGGTAACCAAGCCAATGTTGTGAGCAGTGTTGGTCCAACTCATCCGGAAAAGTAATCAGATTACTTTAGTAATCAGATTACTTTAGTAATCAGATTACTTTAGTAATCAGATTACTTTTCAATTAATTTTCTTTTTGCAATTGTTTATATTAATATGGAGTTGTATAATAATACATTTTCACAGCTTTAATACAGTCATAATGACTGCAAAGAAGATCCTGGGTTCAAATCCTGGTCAGAACAGGATCTTTCCGAGTGGAGTTTACATGTTCTCCCTATGCCTGTGTAGGTGTACACAAAAAAATAACTTGCACAATAGGTAAATCCTCCAGCTCTGGTCCTGACCAAGCCGAGCATTAACATCTGGAGATGGGTCCCCGGGTGCTGGACTACGGCGACCACTGCTCCTGATAGACACTGCAGTGGCATCAGGGTGTGTCAAATGCAGAGGATGAATTTCCCTATGGGTATAAATAAAGTGCACCTTTACCTTTACCTATACTTGTCAAGTTGATAGGAGGAGGACTTGGATTTGTGGATGTAGGTGGAGATTTGGTTGACAGATGGGTAGATAAAGGAAGAGAAGAAGTCGGTTGGAGCTGGGAAGGATGGAGCAGGAGAATTGGGAGAAGATGGAGAGAGTTCCTGGTGGATGTGCTGGGTATTGCAGAACCAGATGAATACAGAAGAGAGGGAAGAGGATTTTACAGAAATGTGTTGTGCCTGGCGGGTTGCATTTGGTGAAAGACAGGTTGATATTGAATGGGGGGAGGTGGTCTATGTATGGGAGCTTATCAGTTTGAAAGTCCGGTGGTGTTATTCCTGAGCCACAGATTAAGTCCAGAATAAGTTCCTTATTGTGAGTGGGGAATTAAATACCAACTGTTGAAATCCAAAACTGTTCAGACAGGAGGTGAAATCTTGTGTGAGTGTGTTATTGGTCTTTTCCATGTGGATATTGAAATCTCCCAGTAGAATGACGTTGGTTGAAAGTGTAGATGTGATCCGGCACGAGTGGCATTTTATGTATATATTTATTTTTTATTATTGTGTGCTGTGTTTGTGGTGTTTTATATTGGTTTTATCTTTGCAGTATATTTATTTACATATTTTAAGACTTCCCACCACCCGCTCAACCCAGCCACGAGACTTTGTCCAATCAATGCACAATTGCGCACACCTGTGTCAGGCGCGAGGAGGGATTTGGCGTTTGTTTGGTGTTCCCAGGTGACCCGGTGTGCGTGTGGAGAGGGACCGCTCCCCAGGACAGCCCGTAGCACGTGCACTCTTTGTTAAGTATTTTAGCCCGCCTTGGTTTTATGGAATTTTAGTAGTGTAATCTGGAGGTGCACAATTTTATTTTTTGTAATAAATTATTTAACTTCCAGTCCTCCTGTCTTCCCTTGGCAAACAGTGTGTGCTCTCACCTGGTCATCTGACCTATTTACAATAGCCCCCCCCCTCTGGTTCGCTCACTACTTTGCACAATATTCATAAGCCCCCCCATTACAGATAGGTGAGTCAGAAATGCAGAAATGTCTGTGATGAAATCCTTGTTTGGTTTTGGTTGTCGGTAGACGGTAGACTGTGGCGAGGACTGTGAGGATGTGTCCAGAAAGTTTTAAAACAGTGGTCCCAAATGAATGACAGGGACGCAAATTCACGGTCAGCACCTTCGAGATCTCACGATGTGTGACCACGAGACCGCCTCCTCTCCCAGACACACGGGGAGCAGCTTGGTAAACAAGTGGCTCAAGCAATATACATACAGACCTGTTTCAGTATACATACAACCCTCTGTCTCAGTGTACATACAACCCTCTGTCTCAGTATACATACATACCTGTCTCAGTATACATACAACCCTCTGTCTCAGTATACATACAGACCTGTCTCAGTATACATACAGACCTGTCTCAGTATACATACAACCCTCTGTCTCAGTGTACATACAACCCTCTGTCTCAGTATACATACAGACCTGTCTCAGTATACATACAGACCTGTCTCAGTATACATACAGACCTGTCTCAGTGTACATACAGACCTGTCTCAGTATACATACATACAGTGCCTTGCGAAAGTATTCGGCCCCCTTGAACCTTTCAACATTTTGCCACATTTCAGTCTTCAAACATAAAGATATAAAATTTAAATTTTTTGTCATGAATCAACAACAAGTGGGACACAATCGTGAAGTGGAACGAAATTTATTGGATAATTTAAACTTAAAAAAAAAAAAAAAAAAACTGAAAAGTGGGGCGTGCAATATTATTCGGCCCCTTTACTTTCAGTGCAGCAAACTCAGTCCAGAAGTTCAGTGAGGATCTTTGAATGATCCAATGTTGTCCTAAATGACTGATGATGATAAATAGAATGCACCTTTGTGTAATCAAGTCTCCGTATAAATGCACCTGCTCTTTGATAGTCTCAGGGTTCTGTTTAAAGCGCAGAGAGAACCATGAAGCCAAAGGAACACACCAGGCAGGTCCCAGATACTGTTGTGGAGAAGTTTAAAGCCGGATTTGGATACAAAAAGATTTCCCAAGCTTTAAACATCTCAAGGAGCACTGTGCAAGCAATTATATTGAAATGGAAGGAGTATCAGACCACTATAAATCTACCAAGACCCGGCTGTCCCTCCAAACTTTCATCTCAAACAAGGAGAAGACTGATCAGAGATGCAGCCAAGAGGCCCATGATCACTCTGGATGAACTGCAGATAACTACAGCTGAGGTGGGAGAGTCTGTCCATAGGACAACAATCAGTCGTGCACTGCACAAATCTGGCCTTTATGGAAGAGTGGCCATTTCTCAAAGATATCCAATAAAAGTCTCTTAAAGTTTGCCACAAGCCACCTGGGAGACACACCAAACATGTGGAAGAAGGTGCTCTGGTCAGATGAAACCAAAATCGAACTTTTTGGCCACAATGCAAAACGATATGTTTGGCGTAAAAGCAACACAGCTCATCACCCTGAACACACCATCCCCACCTCAGCTGTAGTTATCTGCAGTTCATCCAGAGTGATCATGGGCCTCTTGGCTGCATCTCTGATCAGTCTTCTCCTTGTTTGAGATGAAAGTTTGGAGGGATGGCCGGGTCTTGGTAAATTTGCAGTGGTCTGATACTCCTTCCATTTCAATATAATTGCTTGCACAGTGCTCCTTGAGATGTTTAAAGCTTGGGAAATCTTTTTGTATCCAAATCCGGCTTTAAACTTCTCCACAACAGTATCTGGGACCTGCCTGGTGTGTTCCTTTGTCTTCATGGTTCTCTCTGCGCTTTAAACAGAACCCTGAGACTATCAAAGAGCAGATGCATTTATACGGATACTTGATCACACACGGGTGCATTCTATTTATCATCATCAGTCATTTAGGACAACATTGGATCATTCAAAGATCCTCTCTGAACTTCTGGAGTGAGTTTGCTGCACTGAAAGTAAAGGGGCCGAATAATATTGCACGCCCCACTTTTCAGTTTTTTATTTGTTAAAAAAGTTTAAATTATCCAACAAATTTCATTCCACTTCACGATTGTGTCCCACTTGTTGTTGATTCATGACAAAAAATTAAAATTTCATATCTTTATGTTTGAAGACTGAAATGTGGCGAAATGTTGAAAGGTTCAAGAGGGCCGAATACTTTCGCAAGGCACTGTACCTGTCTCAGTGTACATACAGACCTGTCTCAGTGTACATACAGACCTGTCTCAGTATACACACAGACCTGTCTCAGTGTACATACAGACCTGTTTCAGTATACACACAGACCTGTCTCAGTATACATACAGACCTGTCTCAGTATACACACAGACCTGTCTCAGTGTACATACAGATATCTGTCTCAGTATACATACAGACCTGTCTCAGTGTACATATAGACCTGTCTCAGTATACATACAGACCTGTCTCAGTATACACACAGACCTGTCTCAGTATACACACAGACCTGTCTCAGTATACACACAGACCTGTCTCAGTGTACATACAGATATCTGTCTCAGTATACATACAGACCTGTCTCAGTATACATACAGACCTGTCTCAGTATACACACAGACCTGTCTCAGTGTACATACAGATATCTGTCTCAGTATACATACAGACCTGTCTCAGTGTACATACAGACCTGTCTCAGTATACATACAGACCTGTCTCAGTATACACACAGACCTGTCTCAGTATACACACAGACCTGTCTCAGTGTACATACAGACCTGTCTCAGTGTACATACAGATATCTGTCTCAGTGTACATACAGACCTGTCTCAGTATACACACAGACCTGTCTCAGTATACACACAGACCTGTCTCAGTATACACACAGACCTGTCTCAGTGTACATACAGATATCTGTCTCAGTATACATACAGACCTGTCTCAGTATACATACAGACCTGTCTCAGTATACATACAGACCTGTCTCAGTGTACATACAGACCTGTCTCAGTGTACATACAGACCTGTCTCAGTATACATACAGACCTGTCTCAGTATACACACAGACCTGTCTCAGTATACACACAGACCTGTCTCAGTATACACACAGACCTGTCTCAGTGTACATACAGATATCTGTCTCAGTATACATACAGACCTGTCTCAGTATACATACAGACCTGTCTCAGTATACATACAGACCTGTCTCAGTGTACATACAGACCTGTCTCAGTGTACATACAGACCTGTCTCAGTATACATACAGACCTGTCTCAGTATACATACAGACCTGTCTCAGTATACATACAACCCTCTGTCTCAGTGTACATACAGACCTCTGTCTCAGTTTACAGATAGACCTGTCTCAGTATACATACAGACCTCAGTCTAGGTATACAGTGCCTTGCAAAAGAATTCGACCCCCTTGAACCTTTCAACATTTCGCCACATTTCAGGCTTCAAACATAAAGATATAAAACATAATTTTTTTGTCAAGAATCAACAACAAGTGGGACACAATCGTGAAGTGGAACGAATATTATTGGATAATTTAAACTTTTTTAACAAATAAAAAACTGAAAAGTGGGGCGTGCAATATTATTCGGCCCCCTTGCGCTAATACTTTGTAGCGCCACCTTTTGCTGCAATTACAGCTGCAAGTCGCTTGGGGAATGTCTCTATTAGTTTTGCACATCGAGAGACTGGAATTCTTGCCCATTCTTCCTTGCAAAACAGCTCGAGCTCAGTGAGGTTGGATGGAGAGCGTTTGTGAACAGCAGTCTTCAGCTCTTTCCACAGATTCTCGATTGGATTCAGGTCTGGACTTTGACTTGGCCATTCTAACACCTGGATACGTCTATTTGTGAACCATTCCATTGTAGATTTGGCTTTATGTTTTGGATCATTGTCCTGTTGGAAGATAAATCTCCGTCCCAGCCTCAGGTCTTTTGCAGACTCCAACAGGTTTTCTTCCAGAATGGTCCTGTATTTGGATCCATCCATCTTCCCATCAATTTTAGCCATCTTCCCTGTCCCTGCTGAAGAAAAGCAGGCCCAAAGCATGATGCTGCCACCAACATGTTTGACAGTGGGGATGGTGTGTTCAGGGTGATGAGCTGTGTTGCTTTTACGCCAAACATATCGTTTTGCATTGTGGCCAAAAAGTTCGATTTTGGTTTCATCTGACCAGAGCACCTTCTTCCACATGTTTGGTGTGTCTCCCAGGTGGCTTGTGGCAAACAAGACTTTTTATGGATATCTTTGAGAAATGGCTTTCTTCTTGCCACTCTTCCATAAAGGCCAGATTTGTGCAGTGCACGACTGATTGTTGTCCTATGGACAGACTCTCCCACCTCAGCTGTAGTTATCTGCAGTTCATCCAGAGTGATCATGAGCCTCTTGGCTGCATCTCTGATCAGTCTTCTCCTTGTTTGATATGAAAGTTTGGAGGGACTTTAAACAGAACCCTGAGACTATCAAAGAGCAGGTGCATTTATACGGAGACTTGATTACACACAGGTGCATTCTATTTATCATCATCAGTCATTTAGGACAACACTGGATTATTCAAAGATCCTCACTGAACTTCTGGAGTCAGTTTTTTATTTGTTAAAAAAGTTTAAATCATCCAATAAATTTTGTTCCACTTCACGATTGTGTCCCACTTGTTGTTGATTCATGACAAAAATGTATGTCAACTTTATGTTTGAAGCCTGAAATGTGGCGAAATGTTGAAAGGTTCAAGGGGGCCGAAGGCACTGTACATACAGACCTCAGTCTCAGTATACATACAGACCTGTCTCAGTATACATACAGACCTGTCTCAGTGTATGTGCACTGGTTCTCCTCAGGGATGTATTTTGAGTCCTTTGCTTTTTACTTTGTACACTCACGATTGTGTGTCCTCCTCTGACTCAAACTTGATCATCAAATATTCTGATGACACCATCATCGGTCTCATCAGTGACAATGATGAATCCTCTTATAGAGCAGAGATACAAAATGTGGTTCAGTGGAGTCAAACTAACAACCTCCAGTTGAACGCATCGAAAACAACATGTGAACTGGTCTACGACTTCAGTCGCAATAGTTCTCCTTTGCCTGTCGTAATCGACAACTCCCAGGTGCAGATCGTAGAGGAGTGCAAGTTTCTGGGTTTAACTCTGTCTAACGACCTGAAATGGGTTAAAAACACTGACCGAGTCGTTAAGAAAGCTCGTCAGCGTCTCTACTTTCTGCGCAAACTTAGAGAATTTACCACTAACTCTAAGATTGTGCTTAACTTTTATCGCTGCACCATTGAGAGTTTACTTGTTGGTTCTGTGTCTGTGTGGTTTGGAAACATCACAGATAAAGAAAAGAGAGCTTTAAACAAGGTGCTCCGCTCTGCAAAGAGGACCGTGGGCTGTGAGCTTCCTGTTCTGGAGGTTCTTTATAAATCCAGACTTTTAAACAAAGCTCTTAGGATTGTCAATGACTCTTCTGGCCACCCTGGGAAAGCCATGTTCCAGCTTCTTCCCTCTGGCAGAAGATATCGCTCTCTGAGATGCAGGACATCTCGTTATGGCTGTTATCAGTGTGAACAGAGCACTTTAATGATTTGCACTTGTTTTGAAACTGTTTTACTCGATCGATTTCGCAGTGACATTTGGTTTACTGTTTTATTTGTTTTATTTTTGTCTTTTAATGTTGTTTTATGTCTGTATTTGTCTGTGCACACTGGAGACCTTTTACTAATGTATTCCAATGTGTTTTTTTTTACTGCAAATGGCAAATAAACTGAATCTGAATACATACAGACCTCTGTCTCAGTATACATACAGATCTGTCTCAGTATACATACAGACCTCAGTCTCAGTATACATACAGACCCCTGTCTCAGTATACATACAGACCTCTGTCTCAGTATACATACTGTACAGACCTGTCTTAGGATACATACAGACCTGTCTCAGTATACATACAGACCTCAGTCTCAGTATACATACTGTACAGACCTGTCTCAGGATACATACAGACCTGTCTCAGTATACATACAGACCTGTCTCAGTATACATACAGACCTCAGTCTCAGTATACATACTGTACAGACCTGTCTCAGGATACATACAGACCTGTCTCAGTATACATACAGACCTGTCTCAGTATACATACAGTACATACAGACCTCAGTCTCAGTATACATACTGTACAGACCTGTCTCAGTATACATACTGTACAGACCTGTCTCAGTATACATACAGACAGACCTCTGTCTCAGTATACATACAGACCTGTCTCAGTATACATACAGACCTCAGTCTCAGTATACATATAGACCTGTCTCAGTATACATACAGACCTGTCTCAGTATACATACAGACCTGTCTCAGTATACATACAGACCTCAGTCTCAGTATACATACAGTACATACAGACCTGTCTCAGTATACATACAGACCTGTCTCAGTGTACATAGAGACCTGCCTCAGTATACATACTGTAGAGACCTGTCTCAGTATACATACAGATCTCAGTGTACATACAGACATCTGTCTCAGTATACACACACACACACACACACACACACACACACACACTCCTCGTTCTGCACATGCTCAGAGCCCATCAAACCTGACTGAACTTCAGAAGAAATCCAAAATGTCTTGTGGTGGCTAAATTTATGCACATTTCTAAATTGGTTCAAATCATTTTTGTACATATATCTTGGTTAAATTCAACTGGAATGCATCCAAACAACCAAAGATGTATAAAGAAAAATTATAAAAATTAGATGTAGTAGTAATTTGAAGAAAGTTTACATAGTTTTTTTAATTTATTTATTTTATCTATGAATGCCTTATTCTATTCTCTACTTTTAAATTTGTTTGCACCAAGAGCCAAAGCAATTTCCAAGTTTTTGACTTGTTACTCACATGGTAATAAAAAAATTCTGATTCTCAAATTGAGAGCCCAAACCTTTGCATAGAGACATTCATATTGAGACAAAAAACTCACGTCAGATCCACTGTTTGCTGCTGAACCTCGGGCGTGTTCACTGACTGTGTGACTCAGAGTCAAGAACCACTCCTCCCTCTCCACCAACGAACTAGAAAAACAGAATTAAACCTTTAAAAAACGAGACAGAAACCAGGAAGTAATGTCTATAATGTAGAGTTAGTGTCGCTCACACCTCGCAGACAGCGTGATGGAGAGCTCCTCTGAGTCAATCCTCAGAGCGTTTTGAACTTCATCCACAATGGGTTTAGTCACCTGTAAATTCAAATACATTTATGTTTGAATAGCCATAAATCACAAATGCAGTCGTCTGATTGGACTATACAGAGTTGTCGATTCGCCAACAAGAGATCAGAGAGTCAAACCGTGCAAACACAGGGAATGCAATAATAACATGCGCACAGGAGCCATTGGTTCATAGGGAGCGGGATGATTACTGTCCAGAAATGTTCATAAATGTCTTGTACTGTCCCTAGACCATCCTGCATCACAAAGAAACAACTCAAAAACCCAGTGGGAAAAAAGTGAGACAGCGAGGCATCAGCTCCCACAGACGGACAGGCTGTAGATCCAGGACTGAGACTGTAGATCCAGGACTGAGGCTGTAGATCCAGGACTGAGACTGTAGAACCATGACTGAGGCTGTATATTCAGGATCGAGGCTCAAATGGGAGATTAATGTCATTAAAAACATGGAGAGAAGCTAGATCACGATTCCAGATCACTTGAACAAATGCTTATGTTTTGTTGTTTAAAAGAATTAGATAAACTGAGACCAACCTTGAGTCCATCGAGAGAGAGCGTGTTCTTCAGCCTGTATTTTCCATCTTGTTGAGGGAATGTGTAAAGGAGAATGTCATTCATCTGAAAGGGTATAAATAAAAATGCAGGATTAAAGCTGAGGTACCCCATTTTTACATTTTATCTTGTCCAAAAAAACAGTCTGGTAAAAGTAACCTTTTTTATTTATTTAAACAAATCATACCACAAAATTCTGCATCGCTAGCATACATGTAAAAAAGAGCCCTGTGGGCCACTATTTGACTCTTTGAGCTGATGCTGATTGGCTGAGTGAGGGTGGTGCTCTCCTTTTCACTCTTCCTTCTGAAAAAGCTGGCCAAAACATACATGCATTTGAACACTAGAGATGGAACCAAACTGATAGAGATATATGAGATGGAGGGACACATTAAGAGACAGGTAGAGAGAGAGATGGAGAGAGACATACATGCATGTGAAAACTAGTCAGAAGCAAAACTGTTTTCTGGGCGAGGAACTAGTTGGGTTGATGGGTTTTATTACATTTATTAATTTTTTTGTGGTGTAAAAGTTCCATACCTCAGTGTTAAAATATGAAGCATTAAAACATTGTCGTTATGTCTTTTCTGATAAAAACATGAATACAATTGTGAATGATTCTTGTTAATTGACGATTGTTCCATTGCATGTACATTAATAGTCCACTAGAGGGCAGTGTGGCTAAACAGCTTTGACAAGACCCTGACTTTACTACACGCTGTAGTTTAATCGCAGGGAAAACAAAATCTTATTTTCATGTCTCTGGTCCAGATCCATGTTTTTACTGTGACTGGTGTCTGTGAACTCTTCTGTAATGTTGTTTGTCTGACCTCCAAATAAACATCATTCTCTGTTATCTTATTATCTCACTATGTATAATTTATTACCTTAAATAATAGATCCTGTCTGATGTATGATGTGTGTGCTCTTGTTTCTCCTTCTATTCTGAAGCCTGTGTAGTGATGCAACCAATACATATATTTTTCTGTGAGCTGTTTGTCTCATTCCTGCTTTCTGGTGTGTTTTAGTGAACAGCATATAGACACAAGGAAAGGCCGGGAAATACACAACTTGTTTATGTGATTTGGGCAGTTGCCATCCATAGTTTTTAGTTTTAAAATATGATTGTCAAAATAGACTTTTTTCTAGAGTGCTTTGGTCATCACGAGTCAACACCTCATCCTTAACGGTAATGTCAGCAACATACATTGTATTTCTTTTTCATTATTTCTGCCTGTGTGACACTGACATATTATAGTAAGTATAATACAGTAAGTATTTTTCAAGAAAAATATAATTAAAACAATCCCTCCCGTTTGCAAAACTAACCAGAAAGATTTCCTGGAGGAGAATAGTTAAACAAACAACAAAGGGCCTCAAGAATTTGAATTCATTTTGACAAATGAGGAAGCTGTCATGGGGAGGGGGTGTGGCTAACCAGTGCCACAGCCTCACCAACAATCACATATAACAAATTAGTTTGAACAATAGCAATCGCTGTATAATTTGTTCTCATTTTTCCCATCCAAATGCACTGCTCAAATGGATTAAACAGTTTTCTAGCTTCAAAACCTCACGGACTTAGTTGTTTGACTGTTGTTGTTTGATTTTTGGAAGTGACAGTCGACCTGCAAAATGTCTTGCATATTAACAAGGGCTTCAAAACAGAACTCAAAAAACACCTAAAAAGCAGCCAAAAATGCACACATTAGCACCAATGTGGCTCTTTGGTCTCACTCTCCCGACGCTACTGACTTTGTTTGTTTGTTTTGGTGATGTTGATGTGTCTCGTCTTGATTATATGTGGGGAGGGTGTAGGGTTTTTATTCAGATCTGTTGTTTGTGGTTTGCTTGTCTTGGTCAACCCTGTGTCTTGTGAATTTTGTCTTGTTCTTGTTCTGGGTTGTCCGCCCCCCTGCCAGGGACTGCAGATGTAAATTAGCCTCAGGCTAACTCTGGTACAATGCATCAAATGGAAACATTTATGTTCCAATTGTACATGGTCCCTTTTAACTTAATAAACTAAACTAGTGGATTAAACAAACAAAAAAATTTAATAAATTCAAAATAATTTTAATCACATTTTGCTGCTGTTTTTAGGATTGAGATTAATTCAACATTAAAATCTTTACCAAAAACAGATGACGAGGCTGCCGACTTTTGCGGCTGACTTTCATTAGCGTGCCCTCCTTTATGAACACCTGTTGAAGACATTGTTAATCATGAGTTGATTATGAGAAAGTGAGGATGGAGACTATGGTGGGTTTGAAGTCCATACCCGTCCCGGCTGCAGCAGGTCACTCTGGCCCCTCACGCTGTAGTCGATGTTCACCAGACGTAACAAGTTTTCCTGAAAAAAAAAAAATGCAAGATTTCAATGAAGGGTCCGAAAACGTGAAACTTTTGGGCGAGAAAGTCGAATCTGTGGAAAGAGTGTTTTCAGTGACGTCCAAAAGCATCATGACAGACAAGTGGTTATGTTTCTTTGATACTTACTAAGCCATGCTACAAAGTTACACTGTCTTAGAGGATTATAATAGTTCCATTTTGTTTGATTCGAAAGTTTTGTACATTAGCTTTGCGTTGTAATAGGGGCAGAGACATTTTGCTAGCTAAGGCAAGCTAGTTTCCCCACTCAATGAAGGCATCTGACGGCTCAATCCTTATGTAGCTCATGTCTGGATTTACAAAGACAATATCACAAAGTAACACCATTGATTTTTAAAGCCAAAAAGTAGTTAGTGTGACATAAACAGTTCCTGAGCTACAGGAGTTCAATGTAAGCCAATAGAAACCAGAGCGAGTTGGAGCAAAACTTTGTCCATGAGCACTTCCCTATTGGTCATCATTAGCGGAGCTAGCGGGTTAGCACAGTCCATCAATATACAGTACATTCTATGGATTGAACCCACAAACTTAAAATGCTTAATTTTTTCCATCTTACCCCGTTCTCCAAGCTGTCGTTAGCCTGATACGCGATGTCGGACACGATCGTCACAGCAGCTAAAACAATCAGAGATAAATTATGTTGTAAGTTTTAACTCTCAGGAACCTCTGGCACAAACACATCCCCCTCCCCCTTCTGTTTAAATGCTCATGTCTCAAACCTTTGACACAACAATGAATTCTCACACTATTACATCTGGTTTTTTGCCTTCAAATCAGTGAGAGCAATATCTCCAATGAAAAGAAAAATTTACCACCTCCAATTGGTGGCAGAAGTAGGCAATAATGGTACTTACTGGACTATTTCTTCCAATTTTTGTGGAAAAGTGATCTCCAGAGCTGATGATATACTGTACCTGATTCAATGTGTTTATGTGAACAGCAGAGAGAAATGAGGGAAGTGAAGGGAAATACACAAGACTTGTTTTTATGTGATTAGGACTACAGTTTATGGACTTATTATTATGAATCCATTATGTTTTAGTAGAATGTTATTGTCAATATAAATAGTATTTACTCAAGTGCTTTGATCATGTTAAAATTCCATCGTCATGAATTCATGTTGTGTCCAGTTAAAACAGCTGTCTCTCTGCGTTGTTTTGCTCCATCAGCTGTTGGTTAAGTAACATTACAACATGCGTATATTCATGTGAGGCCATCGTGGAAAAATGTACTTTAAATGTAGTGTACAGGTGCACATTATAGTCCAGGAAGTACTGTAATTATCACCTGTATCTCATTCTTTGCACAGGTTTATCCATGGATTGTGTATTTTCAATAAAATAAGGACAAATTTTCCAAAACACAGAGTAAAGTAAATAGTCTCATGTTTTAAAAGCCAAAAACCACAAGCCAGGGAGCAGGAACAAACCCAGGCTTTGTGAGGCTCCCTGATCAGACATACGAGTTAGAAAGTGCTAGTGCCCCCTATTGCATTAAACATTAGTCTCATATAGAACTGACTGCTGGGAGGGCGAAGGCTGTGCTGCTAAATTGGCTCCGCGATTGCTGCTCCGTGTCGAATGAGTGCAAATAACTACAACACAACACAACAAGCAGCGGCTTCTATGGGTCTGCAGGGAGATTCTTTAGTGAATGCATGTGTCCGCCATTTAGAGCTGTGGAGGAGCAGAGTGCAGTGGACACGGATGACACCAAACAAAGAGATGATTCCGAAGCAATTTGCAATACTTCCCATGTAGTCTACAAATTGAACTGTTCTTGTGGATGTTTTTATATTGGAATGACAAAGCGCCGCTTGAAAGACCGCCTGTCAGAACACAAGTATGCTATCAAAACAAAAAATCCAAACTACCCCATGGCTAAGCATTTTTCCTCAGTTGGACACAATTTTAGTCATTTACAAGCCATGGTTATTGAGGTCATCCCTGCGAGTTTGAGAGGTGGGGACAGAGTTAAAAGACTCGCACAAAGAGAAACTTTCTGGATTGATAAACTTAAAGCCACTGTCTTTCCAGGGCTAAATGATGATGTTGACTTTTCAGTGTTTTTATGAGTATGTCTATTTTTTCCAAAGACCAAGGTATTCATTGGGGGCCCCTCCAGTATAATGTGTGTTGGTGTAGATACTGCAGTATCTTCATGTTTAAATATCCTCCCTTCATTCAATGAGGAATTTTTATTTTGTCATGTGACGAGTCCTGTGGACGTCATTGGTCTTTTCTAAACGCCTATCTTCTATGTATCATCCAATAGTGGTTGCTCCTTTACGTCATGTATCGAGTTCAGTGGACGTCATGAGTCTATTTTAAACCTGTCAATTTAGTATGTTTTTTTACACTGCCCTGAAGAAGGCCCTGCGTGGCCGAAACGTTGGTCCCTTCTCAAATAAAGGACTTTTATCAGAGTGCCTCGGATTTCACCCTGTCTTCTTTGGAAAAGGATATTTTTGTTTTTCAATGTCATTTTTCTTCCTGAAGAGCACCTGATTTTAATTACTTTTTTGGACCCTGTAGCACTCATTCCTCCTGTTCTCTAAAGAGATGATTCCTTTTTAATTCACCATATGGCCTGGTACATCAGACTTACAAATTCAATCTTAAAAAAGACAGATTGTCAGAGATGCTGCATATGGAGACACTTTGGTAGAGAATATGGTAACTTAAGCACTATTCTCTTCTCCCTCCTACTTCATCTGTCGTCTTTATGGCTTCAGCTGTAGTCTGTTCATTGCTATTCACTGAGAACTGCATGTTTTCATGTGGAGATGTAACTTAACCAACAGCTGATGGAGCAAAACAAAGCAGATAGACGCTGACAGACTGTTTGAACTGGACACAACATGATTTAATGATAAAGTAAGAAGGAGGCAAACATTACTTCATGTTAGCATGCTTAGATTAACTGTTAGCATCCTTGTTGACAATAAACCTAATCCTATGCCTACCCAAACTTCAGGATAATAAGTCCATACACTCTGCTCTGACAACAGCCCTAATCACATAAAAAGTTCTTGTATTTCCTGCATCCCCCGGGTCTCTCTGCTGTTCACATAAACATAAATGACAGCAGATAGAGCTATGTCCAGATTTTTCTGGGCTCACAATGAAAACACATACATTAGTCACATCGCTAGATAAGAAAAAAACTATGGTACGGTGGGATTTTTGTGTTATTCAACCTACTACACGGACACACACAGACGCACGTACCCTGGGTGTCCTCATATTCCTGGGAGTCGGGGGACAGGTTGTTGAGGTAATCTGAAAATAAAAACACATGATAAACCGTGAAAACCAGAAGGCCTTGAATTAAACCAGTAAATCTCTTCTTTCCGCACTGACCGGTGAGAAGCATCCTGTACTGAGCCACGCGGACGACCACCTGCAGCAGCTGGTGCTTCAACGACGACTTTACACGATTCTGAGGAAGAAAGTGTGGATTTACAGTCGGTAATAAGATTTTATAATCATTTCTTTGCAGTGAAGTGGATTATCAAAGCCACGTGTAGAAAGGTCTGTAGCTCCCACTGTTCTCTAGTGAAGGACATTGTGTCACTTTACGTAACCTGTTTGTACCTTATTTTCTGTACCTTTAAAAGTGCTTTCCTACCCTTTACGCACTGGTACAAAAAGGTACCATAGAAAAATATGCCTTTATTTTTATAATCTGACCTGATTTAAGACAAAGATTGCGTTAGAATTACATTTATTGCATGAAACAGGAAGAGGTACTATTATATTCATTGCGTTTGAACATGGAGAGTTGATTAAGATTTGGCAAATAGACCCCGGAAGAAATAATTCATGAAGTTTGCAGGAGGAACCTTATTGAGATTATGAACATCACCTTCTCTTTTTCTGAAGAGAAGGTGATGGGGAGGAGGTGGGTTGCTGCACAAATAGCAGCTTGATGGGAGGACTGAGAGGCTCTGTTTAAATACAGGGCGTTTCTGGTGAGCATAATGGTGCTTTCAGACCGCCAACGCTGAAACGCTGAAGCCCCGCTCACCAGACGCGCATTCTCTAGTTTTCAGACGCAGAGGATTTCACACCAGAACGTCCTGACGCGCACCGGAAGTACCGGAAGTAGCCGGCCGGCTCTGATGCTAACAGAGTTTAGCTAGTGGCTTCTTGTCATGGATCTATTATATTAACTGGATAGGGTATTACTAGCTTGTAGCTGAATAACTCACGTGCTCAGGGGATTCTCGCGGTACTGCAGACTGAACCAGACTAAATTCACGTGGGCTACCCAGAAATTTTCCCCATAGAACTCAATGCATATTAAAACAGCTCAACCTCAGCTGACAGAGAACCTACGGCTTTCATAAAGGTCGGATTGTGTGGGGATTTTAGTGTCCCTTGTCATCCTGAACTTTTTTTCTTCTTAAATCCTTCGGTTTTGTTTAAATCCACACTTTAGTGCCACAAACTCTGCTCGTCTGGCTCTGGCTCTAACTCCCGCTCTGATGAACTGCTCTGATTGGTCAGAGCGCGGCCGAGCCCCTCTGTGCACGTGCGTGAGACCCGGTGTGAGACCCACACACGCGTGTTTGGCGCAACGCATTATGGGAGATCATCCACTGCACAGAACCGGGAGGACCAGACAATGCCCAAATACAGGGGAGTTTCCCATAGATCTTTGCGAGTTTCAGGCAACTTCCGCTAATCTTTCAGCCCCCGTGCCGTCACAAAGCGCCACTGAGCAAAACCATTCATTTGAATAGGGCGCCATCTTGGATCGCCGGGGCTTGCTTCTTGTGTACAGATCTTCTCCAATATGCAGCTTTGCAGCGTGTCTTTGTTCAGAAACCTTCCACGGGCTTTATATAACAGTAGTATGTGTTCACGGAGGTGCGCACTTTTTTTGTATTATCAAACGGTATTGCCGCATCGGCAAACACACTCGAAGCAGTTGCATAAGGTCACGGGAGCATGACAACGCATATATTCACAAGCACAGTCCCCCATTGTCAACCCTGGTTTGAGTTCTGGTGATGCCTGGTGTGGGTCCTGTTTTGGCTGTTTACGAGTATTTTCAGTCTGCTCGCTCAGTCTGCTAATGTCCCCGTGACCACTTTGCGGCTCTCTGATTGGTTGTCGCACGAACGTCCCAAGGAAAGGATGAGCAGAATCCATCTCCTGTGGGCGTCAATTTTTCGCTCCTGCTCCTCCCCTTTGACTTTCCCGCCAAGTCTGTGCGTCTCTACTGAACAGTCCGTCCGTCCGTGCAACTCAATGCGGAGGTGAGAACCATGTCTTCCAGTCTGAATTTCTGCTTTAGTTGTATTTCTCTAGTCTCTGGATGTGTTATACCCCAAAAGACTTGCTGTTGTGAGAGTATAATCCATGCTGTATGGTCACTGATGCAGGCACCACTATTCACAAAAGTGTGTATCATTTTACTTTCTTCACAGTTGTCTGTTAATTTGATGTGGTCTTTTTCATTTGTGGTTGTCGTGGTGTGGACATTGGATTGGTTTTGTTTTTACTGTGGACTTCTATTCATCAAATCATTTAATTCTATTTTTGCCGCATTTTGGTTTCTGTGCGCGCGTGTGTGTGTATGTGTGCATATATGTGTGTGTTTGTGTGAATTACCTCGAAGTCCTGGACCACAGCGCAGAGCCTGGGTGAGGTCCGGCAGCTCTCCTCCAGCAGAGCCACGCTGCGGTCGTAATGTCCAATGAACGTGGTGAACACCAAGAACTCGGACTTCCGCGACAAGAAGATGTCCGCCATCTTCTGACTGTCGCTCCTGGCAACACACAAAATGGAGATTATAAAATTACATCTGCTCATTCATACTCATACTACAAGACAGACATGGACATGGACTTTGATTAGCTTCATCCATGCTAACACGACATAATTAGCTGCCATTACACAATCTGAGTTTAACAGGCTTCAATCAATGTATTTTTGTACTAGTGCCACAAAATACCCGTACGGATAAGTGTCCCAGAGCCTCCCCCGTGCAAGACATTTTGAAATATTAAAATCTTTCCATTGAGAGATAATTGTACTGTAGTCAAATTAGTTGAAATCAATCATGATATAATTGTAAATGAAAAGGAGGTTGCCATGTCGACACGTTTAAACTTGAAATGTATTTTTGTACAGCCATAAATCCCAGCAGCAGTCGTCGATGAGGATGTTTAAAAAGTTGGTTTTTGGCAAACAACAAATCAAAGAATCAAGGAAAAAACAGGAATTTGCGGTAACAACAAACACATAGGAGCCATTGATTCAAGGGGAGCGAGACGACCACTGTCCAAATATGTAAATAATTCCCTTAAATGTTCTTACGTGGTTATAAAAGTGTGTGTGAGGGGTTTTCCATCCTTAAAACATAGAGCTGCTGCGTCAATTTTGCTTATTGTGAGTGACTTTTAGAACCTGACCTCTGCAATAAACCAGGTACCACTGCATTACATTTAAAGTGATAGTCTGGAACTCTAAATGAATTACAAATTTTAAGAATTGTATTAAATTGACCTCCTGATTCGGAGCCTCCGAATCAAGCTTCTATTAGACTCTGAAACTAAACGAAAACTGAACAAAGAATTCTGAACATCCGCGCTGAGTTACCTATTTATATACTGAACCTATATCCATAATCAGATCCTCTGCAGATGTGTCCTATAATGTGCAATTAATGATAATAGCTACTTCCGGGTTTGCTGCGATCTTTTTAATGTGTGCATTAAAACATAATTTTTGTCATGAAAACGTTAACAAATAATTCTAAAAACCTCCCTGCATGTGTATTAATAATGTATATGTATAATGTATTTTCCGATTAACATTTAAACGTGTTACGGAAACATAGGCGTAGACCAATCAGAAAGGAAGGGGGAGGAGCTTGCGTCGTTTTTTTCAAATCAAGTACCTCTGTCTTTTATCTGACAAACTGCAGACAATCACTTTAATGACAGCCCATATGAACCACAATCTAATGTTTACATGCTCTTGTTAATACTCTATAATTATTCTAAGTTCTACCTAAAAACCCTGAATGGAGTGAATATGTAAAAGGTGCTGGTCTTTTCTCACCACAGCCTGACGCGTCCCTCCAGCTCACACAGGATTCTGCGGTGGAGGTTGTAAACGTCCGGTAACTCGATGAGAATCTCCCTGAGTCTGTCCTCCTCCATCACCGGCTTCATCTCTGCATCCACCACCGACATCACCGCCTCACGGAAGTCCTGGCACCAAAGAGTAGAGTCACACATCAACTAAATACACACTCTGCATCATTTCTGTTCATTATTCCCCTAAACGTGATCTTAAGGATATCTAGTGTTTCAGGCTTGAGAATGTGAAATATTTATATTTGGCATAAAGAGGCATTACAATACGTTTTATGGGAACAAAAGTGCATATTTTAGTTTCTGAGTATGTAGTGACCCGGCGGCTGAATGGGAGGCTAGCATGGCGCCTTTACTTACATCAGTTGCTATAGTGGCTACTGCTCTGTAGCCACTATAGCATGACTATTTTGGTGGAGCTGAAGTTGGCGGTGTTGGCAGCAGAGGGCCACGTAAAAAAAACAAAGCAGGCCGCAATTGGTCCGCGGGCCTTGGTTTGGACAGGCCAGGTCTGTACCGTTATGTGTTTGTGTCTTTCCAAAATAATAATACCTAATATTCTAGTTTCACATTTAACATACCAAAGTCACACACTTTTCAACAATAAAATAATGCAAATATATTTCAAATCTACAATGTATGTAATTATTTAGGGTAATACTGTATATAACTTACTTCATGAAGAAGCTTGAGGACTTTGATGTGTCTGCAGAAGAATATACAGTAATTATCAATTATTGAAATCCAAAATGAAAAAAAACTAATAATGAAATCTGAAATTAATCTTACTTTCTCTCTGTGTCCAGCAGCTCTTTGGCCACGTAATATGCTCTGGAGTGACCGTCAGGCTGAAAACAATACAGAATGTTTAACAAAATACAACTGGGAAAATGTGAGACAAGATCAAGAACAATCCAAAGGCCTTATTTAGGGTATGTACCAAAAAAGTCCCTTGAACAATGTCCTGAAGAGTCCCTGCTTTTTAAATAATTTTTACTCACTGAAAGGAGTGCCTCGGATTTATTTTCTTCTTTATATGTTATGGAAATTTGTTTCAATATTTTCTTTCCATAACAGGGGCAGACGTGTTGCTAATGCTAAGATGATTGCTAAGGCAAGCTGTAGTTTCCCCTGCAAAATCCCGACATGGCTCATAACTGGATTCAAAAAGACAATATAAACACCAGGATCACAGGGAAAGTTAAACCACTGGATTATTTAAGCCCAAAATGGTGAGTTTGCTTTTTAATGTGAGTCAATAGGAGCCAGAGCGAGGTGGAGCAAAATGTCCACGTTTGGACTACATTGAGCTAGCAGGCTAATCCACTTTAAACAGTCCATGGCTTTGTTATAGATGAAAGCAGTGCACCTGTCTCTCGTAGACGCAGTCCTCCTCTGAAGTGCGTCCCTGGTCTTCGTCTCGGACCGGAGCCACAGCCACAGGACACACGTTGTACGCCTCTGTGTACGCACTAAAAAAACACAAACATGGCATTGGAAACACAACACGTGGAGACAAACCCGGGATGTGCATCTTAAAAAAACACCATGAAGATCAAGTCCAGGTAAAATTCTATGTTTACAGACATTTTGCATGAACGAATTCAAAGTGAATCACCATCAAACATCCACACACACTTCTTTCAGCGAAAGGGGGAGAGGTGTTTCCAGGACAGCTGAGAGAGGCCCGTTCACTAGGTCTGGGCCTTTTTAATTGGACCAAGTCTGGTTCAATTTAATTCAAGTCAATTTATTTGTGTATAGTCCTAAATTACAACAGCATTCGTCTTGGAGGACTAAACAAAGCCATTGAAATCACCAACACAGATCAGAGAATCAATAGTTAAGACAAAAAAGATAGAACACAAATGTATTGGTCCATAGGGAGAGACCAATGTCCATGAATGTTGATAAATGTCCATACATGTTGTAGAAAAAGTTGCCAACAACAAAGGGAATCAAACAGTTGGAATACAGGAAATGCAAGAACAAGAAACATAGGAGCCGGGACGACCACTGTCCATCTCTCCATCTATTTTCTTCTGCTTTATCCGTTGCCGGGTGGCAGGGGCAGCAGTCTAAGCAGAGACGCCCAGACTACTTCCCTCTCCATACACACTATCTCCATCTCATGCAGGGGAATACTGAGGCATTCTCAGGCCAGCCGGGAGGCACAGTCCCTCCAGCCTGTCCTGGGTCTTCCCCTGGTCTCTACTGGAGGGGACATGCATTGAACACCTGCCCCAATGCTGTCCATAAATGTGCATACATGTCCTGGATCATGACTGTCTTTAAACCCTCCTGCATCGGCAAAGCAAAAAATTATGACTATTTTTATCTTCCAAGATGTTTCGGGCCTCATCTTGCTCATCAAAACCAGGAAAGCTTTCATTTCTGCTCTCTGTAATTGCTTTAATTGCGGGCGGCACGGTGGCTGAGTGGATAGCACTCTCGCCTCTCAGCAAGAAGGTCCTGGGTTCGAATCCCGGTCGGACCAGGGCCTTTCTGAGTGGAGTTTGCATGTTCTCCCCGTGTCTGCGTAGGTTTCCTCCGGGTACTCCGGTTTCCCCTACCACTAAAAATATGTACAATAGTTCTGGCATATGCCTCCTGTACTGGCGACCCCGCTCCCATCTCTGTGTGGAGTGAGAGACAAATGCCCAAAATTAACAATTGTAAACCGCTTTGAGACTCTGATCTGCAGTGAAAAGGCGGTATATAAATAAAAAACTTACTAACTTACTTTAACTTTCAACTTTTACTCTGAAATAACCCTGACATCACACATCTTCCCAACAAGAGTCCAATAACCAGGTCCTTATCGAGCCACACAGCCCAGAGCGGCTTGTACGGCTCTAATGATCTGCACCAAATGAAAACTCTACAGGACTAAGCTCAGTGGGATGTCTGTGTGAGAAGATGAGTTTAAAGTTACAGTAACAATTCTCTCTTTCTGTCTATTTTGTCACATTGTGATTTTACTATGGATGCAGCCCGACTGAGAGAGGAATTAGCTCTATAAGAACCACATATGGGCACATTTCAGCTCTCTGCATTCATCGCATTTAGGCTCCACGGATCATTAGCTCTGCTCTGCCTCAAACGTCACGCCTGCAGCTTTCTATATTATTACAGAGCTGTGTCACAAGCTCTGAATCTGCATGGAGGCCAGAGGGAAACTATGGAGGAAGGAGGGGTTGATATCACTCATTTGCCTTTCTGTTCTGGGAATATTTGATGATTTGAGTTTATTAGATATTGGCTAAACCTTAAAAATACTTACATTATATGAATAGAAATATGGACATATGTTTATTGCCCCTATTTAGCATTCATAGCTATTTGTCTGCGTTTATGTGTGTATGCTAATGTGTGCTCTTACTACTGTCCTGTATGTGCGCTGCAACATGGAAATTTCCCCACTGCGGTACATACAGCATAAAGCATCTTATACTCTCTTATAAATCCGGAAATGTCAACATTACATTAAAAGTAAATATAGCACTTGCTGTATTTATACGCCGCTATTTTTCCCTTGTTTTCCTGTTAACTTGTGGCCTTTTATAGCAATTTAGTGAATGTGTGTATCTTTATTTTGTTGGGATACAGCTATTCTTGGGTTTCATATGACGTCAGGGCAGTGGCGCGAATAACAAACGTGGGACAGGACGTGATATACACAGAGATATAGTAGAAGAAGAAGCGCTGCCAAAATGCCATCTTTTTGTGCGGTGTACGCTTGTAGCAACCGCACAAAGAGAGAGAAAGACAAGAGTTTGTTCCGTGTTCCAACTGTGGGCTCATATAAAGGAGTACACTTTGAAAAAATCCCTCGAATGAGGCGGGCGAGGTGGATCAAGGCTTTCCCCCCTGCAGGCCACCCGAATGAAACGCAGCAATTTCTTCTGTTTTTTTGGGGTTTTTTTTCAAAAATTCCCAAAATCAAGACTCTTTTGAGAATTTTTTTTTGGTACTCCCTTAGAATTGAGTGTCCCCGATTAAGACTGTTACAACAACTGTACACCGCACAGGAGGAGAGCCTTTTGACTCCAAAACAGACAAGATTTACATGGTTTTCAATGGGAGCAAAACAGAATGGTCCCACCTCTGCTCATTCGCCCCCTACTGGCCAGTTTAATGAAACCCAAGAATATGTGTTGTGGATCTCCATGTCTGACTATTTATCCGTGTACAGCCCTAAATCAAAACAGAAGTCATCTCGTAGGACTTTACAAAGCTGTTGATTCCTTAAGCCAGCATAGAATCAAACAGTTCACAGGAAATGCGATAATAATGTCCTGGATCATCACTGTCCTAGACTCTTCTGCATCGGGCAAGAAAAAAAAGTAAATCCCATTTTTTGTGGATTAATGGTGTCAGAACAGAGTCTATGGAGCTATTGTTTTGACTCCATCGAGCTTTAGTAGGAATGTTATGGTCAGAATAGTTTGGATTCACCAAAGTGCCTTGATCATCACAGTGAGTTAAAACTGCTTCATTAATACATGTCCAGTTAAAACAATTGTCTATCAGATTTGTTTTGCTCCATTAAAGCAGTAACCTGTTGGTAAAGTAACATGACAACATGAAACCCTGTGGCTTCTATTCAGGTGAAGCTTATATGTGAACAATATATACTTTCTCTTCTAATGTACAGTAGCTGCTGTGGTTTATTTACAGGTGGGCTTCAGGAAATACAATGTATGTCTAGAAATGTAAAAAAAACTGTAAAAAGTAAGATGCACGTCTTTAAATGGCTCTAATGCATCTCTGAGCATTGTGCTAATCCAATAAATATCTGAGATATTTAACGTTTCTGGATTTGTCCTGTTCGATCCAGTTTAGGTCATGGTGAAGACTTGGTTGGCTCTTCTTGTAGTCCTCTATTTTAATGTGATATGCTCCTCATGTGAAAATGTGGCCATGCTATGACTGTCTAAGACTCTATTTGTAAGTAAGTAAGTTAGCAGTAAGTAATCTTTATTTGTACAGCACAATTCACAGACCAACGTCACACAAAGAGGTTTACAATGTTTCTGGTATATGAGTACACACACAGTTATGACGGTAGCAGACACACACACACACACATACACACACACACACACACAAGACAGCCCCAAACACTCTCTGACCATACACCTCTCTCCCATACAACACACAAACACACACAGGACTCAGACCCAAACACTCTCTGACCATACACCTCTCTCCCATACAACACACACACATTCACACACACACACACACACACACAAGACAGCCCCAAACCCTCTCTGACCATACACCTCTCTCCCATACAACACACACGCGCACACACACCCACATACACACGACACAGGCCCAATCACTCTCTGACCCTACACCTCTCTCCCACTGCCCCCTCTGAGCGTAAGTCCTCACTCTTCCACCTTCTTCTTCTAGAGTTTTAAATATTAATAGGCTTGAACATGCAAATGAAGATCAGATCAGATTTAGTGAATTAATTCTGTCTCATTTATTGTCGTTTCTGGAGAAAGCAGCATTGAAGTGAACAGAGCAATAACAATGTCCCTTCAGGCTGCAGCCGCACGAGCAGAAACAGAACGGGTAGAATCTACTCTCCACTATAAACTCCAATCCAAGTGGCAGCACCATGACTATCATTATTTATGATTTTAATTTTTCTTATTCTGTTTTGTGAAGCACTTTCAGTCCTTGTGTATGAACTGTGCCATAAAAATATACTTGCCTTGTCATGTAATTTGTTTGACATAACGGTAATCCAGAAAAACAGTACCATTTGAGTCATCAAACTTTGGTGGGAAGAACAAGCTAGAAAAGCACATAGAGCCGATGACATAGTACGCATTCCTGCTTCATGTGTGTTTATGTGAAAGGCAGAGACACAACAAAGTGCAAGGAAATACACAGGACTTGTTATTGTGATAAGGATTGTTGTAGGGCTGGGCGATATAAACGGTATAAGCAGGATGCGATAAAAATGTGGCCATTTTTGTTATAACGGCATATTGCAATTAACCTGGCAAGAGCCAGATTGATGATTGTGTAGAACTCTAATGCGTTCTCCACAATATCAATCTGGGACTTCTGCAGGAGAATCCTTTCGGGGAAAGGAGGGATAAGCAGCAGAATACTTCAAGCTGATTGGGTGAAGTGACGCTGTGTGCCCGCCTACCAAGGTTTGACTTGAACCAATCCCGGTAACATCTTTGCGTCCAGAAATGCACAAAGCGCCTCTCGCTGTTCATCTTTCAAAAAAGAAATTGGAGATTCTGCTAAAACTGCTCCTGCGTAGCCATGTTTGTTTTGCTTCGGCCCGGCATTTCTTGCTTTCATCAAACCCGGATATCCCGCCCTAAACCCCCAGACTGGCACGTGATTGGCTTGAACACCTAGATGTACTACTCGAAAAGGGTTGGCGGGAGCGGGGCAAGATGTATTCTCGAGTGTTTGTGAACTCACAAATACCGCGAGAATTCAGCTTGCAGGCAAGGTTATATTGCAATAGGTGTTGGCCTGCTGGGACCGGCAACAACCACTAGGAGTGTGGCTGCTGGATTCGTCCCGGAAACATTATTCGTCCGGAAGTTCAGTTCGGGCATGTCAAAAAGAGAGACCAGAGAGAGACCAGAGAGAGACTAGAGAGAGACCAGAGAGAGACCTGAAAGAGAGACTATAGAGAGAGACCTGAAAGAGAGACTATAGAGAGAGACCAGAGAGAGACCAGAGAGAGACCAGAGAGGGACCAGAGAGAGACCAGAGAGACCAGAGAGAGACCAGAGAGAGACCAGAGAGAGAGACTAGAGAGACACCAGAGAGAGACCTGAAAGAGAGACTGATGAGAAAGACCTGAAAGAGAGACTATAGAGAGAGACCAGAGAGAGTGCTAAAAACACTTAATTGTGAAGTTCTTTTTTTTGCTCCATTTGGTGTTGATTGTGTTACATTACAGCATGAAAACCAGAGGTAAATGTAGCTGGTGTGATTTATACAGTAGTCCAGAGAGTACAGTATATACATTTCTACTTTTACAATGAACATTTAAGCAGATTCAGTGTTCATACAGTACATATCGTGGGTGATTGTATGCCCCCGTCTCAGCCTCTCTCCTGGGGGGATGCACCCTCACACAGACCGTCCCCTGGTGATTAATCGCGAGAATGTTTTGGACTCATCGCTCTTCTGCAGCGACAGAAACCACAGGCAGATAACATCTTTGCATTCACAGCACACTACATTACACGTCACAGCGACCAGAGATGATCCATGAGGAGGCTCCGCTGAGGGTTTCTCTCATTCAGCAGATTTAAGGCCCTGAAGAAGATGACATAGTCTGGGATCGCGTCTTTAATTCAGACAGAAGACATGTTTTATTGTCAATGGTAGAGACAGCACGAACAAAGCACACGAGCACAGAAACAATAGAATGCAAGTGTATTATACAGAGCGGAGGCATGGAGACCTCCAATCAGCAGCTTCCACGGTGTGCTTGTAGCTTGGCCTTCAGATAGACAAAACAAGGGAAAAGTACTGGCTTCTGCACATTGATAGAATGATGAGTTTAACTTTAACAAAAGTTGCTTCAAAGTGTTATGAAATCTCATATTCCCCCCTCTGGTCATACATTCACGTGTGACCATCAGGATCGATAAACAGCAACATAACATCATAACTCAATACTTCAAAACTCATACTTCACTCGGTACTTCAAAAAACTCAGAACTCGGAATACTTCAAAAACTCAGAAAACTCATAAAACATGTTCAGATCTTTCATAAAACTTGTCAACAATCTTCAGTAAAATACCAAACTTCATCAGTCGATGGTGATTCCAGATATTGCTTTGAAAACAGTCTCTCCCACTTCTCCGTGTTGGTTTCTTCAGGCTGCATTTGTGTCGAGCCATCAATTCTTCTGTGACGTGTCTTTCAATCACACGTTTCAGCTTCAGTGTCCAGATTCAGCAATTCAATTCAGTCCAAATTATGTCCAAATTCAGAAATCCAGATTGTTCCAAATTATGTCCATGCAAAAGAGGACGCTGGTGTTGTCCATGTCTCAGCAGCTCACAGCCTGACTGGAATCAGGGGCTGTGCAGATTGTCCATGTGCTGATCCAGATGCATGGTTTCTCTTGAGGTTTTTCAGTTTTGGCTTACAAAAAAAACACTTTTTGTGTAAAAAAAAAAAAGTCTTCTGTTCTGTAGATGTTACAGACAAGGCCCGCATCCTTCCACCACCTGAAGAAGATGACATAGTCTGGGATCGCGTCTTTAATTCAGACAGAAGACATGTTTTATTGTCAATGGTAGAGACAGCACGAACAAAGCACACGAGCACAGAAACAATAGAATGCAAGTGTATTATACAGAGCGGAGGCATGGAGACCTCCAATCAGCAGCTTCCACGGTGTGCTTGTAGCTTGGCCTTCAGATAGACAAAACAAGGGAAAAGTACTGGCTTCTGCACATTGATAGAATGATGAGTTTAACTTTAACAAAAGTTGCTTCAAAGTGTTATGAAAATCTCATATTCCCCCCTCTGGTCATACATTCACGTGTGACCATCAGGATCGATAAACAGCAACATAACATCATAACTCAATACTTCAAAACTCATACTTCACTCGGTACTTCAAAAAACTCAGAACTCGGAATACTTCAAAAACTCAGAAAACTCATAAAACATGTTCAGATCTTTCATAAAACTTGTCAACAATCTTCAGTAAAATACCAAACTTCATCAGTCGATGGTGATTCCAGATATTGCTTTGAAAACAGTCTCTCCCACTTCTCCGTGTTGGTTTCTTCAGGCTGCATTTGTGTCGAGCCATCAATTCTTCTGTGACGTGTCTTTCAATCACACGTTTCAGCTTCAGTGTCCAGATTCAGCAATTCAATTCAGTCCAAATTATGTCCAAATTCAGAAATCCAGATTGTTCCAAATTATGTCCATGCAAAAGAGGACGCTGGTGTTGTCCATGTCTCAGCAGCTCACAGCCTGACTGGAATCAGGGGCTGTGCAGATTGTCCATGTGCTGATCCAGATGCATGGTTTCTCTTGAGGTTTTTCAGTTTTGGCTTACAAAAAAAACACTTTTTGTGTAAAAAAAAAAAAGTCTTCTGTTCTGTAGATGTTACAGACAAGGCCCGCATCCTTCCACCACCTGAAGAAGATGACATAGTCTGGGATCGCGTCTTTAATTCAGACAGAAGACATGTTTTATTGTCAATGGTAGAGACAGCACGAACAAAGCACACGAGCACAGAAACAATAGTATGCAAGTGTATTATACAGAGCGGAGGCATGGAGACCTCCAATCAGCAGCTTCCACGGTGTGCTTGTAGCTTGGCCTTCAGATAGACAAAACAAGGGAAAAGTACTGGCTTCTGCACATTGATAGAATGATGAGTTTAACTTTAACAAAAGTTGCTTCAAAGTGTTATGAAATCTCATAGCCCAAAGATTAAAAATATTGATATAGAGCATGAGGTAACACATTTTCAGTTCCTTTTTAAAATTCCTTTAAAGGTATATAGGCGGATTTTCTACTTCCGGGCGGATCGTCAAGACTATTGGTCCTCCCAACTGTCAATCATTCTGGTGATACGTGCTCGTCAAATAAGACGAGAGAGTTTTGTTCAAAAAGTGGATTTCCTAAAATCATACCTTTAGGTTTCAGCTCTGCAAAATTGAGAATAACTGTCTGATTTTTCTTTCCCAAAACCTGTATAAAGTATAGTATAGAACAGTAATTAGTAAATTCAAGCTTTCACACCAAAAGATAAATGCAATACACAGGACTACAACAATGGCAATTAATATTAATATCAAATGATGGTAAGCCATTTAACACGCACACACATGCACACACCACACACATACACACACCACACACATGAAATACCATTAATACTAAGACCTGCAGCACAACAGGACAATGGTGATGGATTGACCCAAACACAATCAGGAACTAAATAGACTCTTTTTTTAAATGTGTTTACTTTATTCTGTCGTGTCTGAGGTGGCCTCATACTGAACTTGTTGTGAACTCGAGAGCGCTCGTAAATCCTCTCCCCATGGAGCCTAGTTAACTTAAATGAAAAACAGTAGTCATTTGTGTAAAAGTAGCAATGGCCATCATCAGCATTCTGCTCCATTACATTAGCAAAGGCGTTCCACATGATAAACATAATAACGGCTAAAACTAGAAACAGAACGAGCAATTCAAACAGCAGCAAGAGAATAAGTGAGGGAAATAAGGGCTGGAGGTCTAGCAAACTATTTAAACTGTCTCTAATACATGTTCTTCACTTACGGACTCATGCACCCCTTCCCCGCCTGGAAACCTCTTCAGTCCTGGTTCTACATCCTCAGTCCTGGATCTATAACCTCAGTCCTGGATATTCAGCCTCAGTCCTAGATCTTCAGCCTAAGTCCTGTATCTACAGCCTCAGTCCTGGATCTATAGCCTCAGTCCTGGATCTATAGCCTCAGTCCTGGATCTATAGCCTCAGTCCTGAATCTTCAGCCTCAGTCCTGAATCTTCAGCCTCAGTCCTGGATCTGACTCTCCGTCTGAGTTGATACATTTAAGTATTTTGATAGAGGTGTCATTGCTTACAACTTAGAAATGTCCCAAACTGGATCCTGGACCGGTCCTCAGTTTTTCACCAGAGAAAAGCGAGTACTAATTGGAATAGCAACACACTGTTTACTGACAGCAGTTACCCTTCAGTCCCCTTTCAACCTATTGTGTTTGGTGTATTCCAAAGTTCTATTCACCAATTTTAGCACTTATTAAAAGTGAGTAGAGGTAAGACCCGTACAATTAACATTTTTGGGATGATTTTCTCAAAATTCTTTTGACTTAAATGGGAGTAGTCAGAATGACAGCTCTGGGAGTTTTTTTGTTTTTGTTTTTATAATTCCTAGTGTTAAGCAGAAGTCTACCAAGCTGAACAGAAATCAATGGGGTTTTAATTTCAGATGAGTCCTGTGTTGGCTTGAATTGTTTGAATAGCTCAGCTTATAGGCCTGCAAAAGATAAAACTGTATAACATAACGCAGGTCTTACCTTTCCGTTTCATCCTGCATTGGTTGCATTTTCTTCTCAAACCCCGGCAAACTGCTCATGTCCACATATCCGTCCGTATCGTTCACTGTCGCCCTTTTCCTATTCGAGCGCTCGTAATACTCTGTGAAGGGAAACTGTTTGACAGGCCTTCTCTGCGGCATCTGCACATTCTCATAATCCGAATTTATTGCGGGTATGTTTTCGTAATCCGAGTTATCCGTGATCGGGAACGAGATGGACCTAGGTTTTGTGAGAGGAATGGGCACAAAAGGCACACGGGAGCGGTCATCAAAAGACTCGACTCGGACTACGCTACGATTCAAAAAAGTCACTGAATCACCCTTTTTCCTGGTGTCGTAAAGTAGGAACGCCTGCTCTTGCTGTGGACTTGTCCGTGTGCTAAGGATCGGAGAGTCGGTCAGGCTACGCGTATCCAAATCGGTCGATCTGCATGAAGTGATTTTCGCCGGTTGCTTATTGTCTGTTTTCCTCCTGAACTTCAACATCAAAAATCGTTTCAGGGAGGATTTCTTGTTTCTTTTTTCAGAAGAGTCTGATTCGCTGAGTAGAGACGGCGAACTCTTGGTGATAGGCTTTTTGGTAATGTAAGCTAGCTCAAACGGCGGCGGTATATCCACTGCTGAGGTTGGCGTTGAAAGTGGAGAACTCTGGTTACTTGCAAACACTGCACGACTTCGCATCGGAGACCCTTGCATCTCTGGTCCTTCCATTGACAAAGATCTGGGATACAATGGTAAATAATGAGGTTTTTGATATGCTGCATGTCTTACAAGCATCGGGCTACCGCTATGTCCAGCAAACCCGCTTTTATAGCTTCGAAAATCATTACTCCGTTGGGAATTGGTCCGAGCTCCTATGGATGTCTTGCGTCCAGGCGTGTCGTAAATGTGCTCTTCGCTGAAATCCATGTCGAAAGGCGCAATAGGAGAGTCCAATTTCTCAAACAAGTCACTGGGAAAGAGCAACTCAGACAGTGAAGACGATAGCTTTGTCTCCTTTACTTTTGAAATGGACACTAGTCTGAATCTTGGCTGCCAATCTGTACTGTTTGAACAACCATCCAATAAGGGCGCATTTTGTTGCTTATCTATTCCAAAATTCCTGTTTGGGCTTGTGCTAAACTTGCTTGATTCGCCGGTTATATCTTTGTTATCTATCTTGACATAGTCCTCAGTCAAAACATAGTCGGACTCATCTGTTCCTCCTCCCATTGCATTCCTGTAAGTGTTCTGGTGAAATTTGAAAGAGCCGACCCTGTCAATGTTTAGAGCCACATGCGTCGTTAATGCATTGTTATTCTCCACGCTCAAATCGCTTGTAATATGTTCTAATGTGCTGCAATTGCAATTAGGGTCCTCAAGTTCAAGTTGGATACCATGATTATATGCATGGAGGTTAGCGTTGCATTGGGTTGCCCTCATTTTCTCATACACAGTTGTCTGACTCTTAAAAGATCCAACTCTATCAACATTGACACAAACAAGCTGTGGTGATGCATTAATGTTTGTATTGTTAAAATCTTTCCCAAAAACTTGCGCTGTTTCGGTTAGGTCAAGGTTCAAGTTATCTGCCACATGTTCAGATGGGGTAGAATCAAAATCGTCCAGTTTGTTGCATAACTTTGTGGCCTGTTTTCCATAGCCGTCTTGCTGTAGTTTTAACTGTTTGTGTTTCGGCGATGCGTCACTGCTCGTAAGGGTTAAATCCTTTCTTAAAACCTTGTCTATTTGATTGCAATGCTTGTCGGAGCTCTTTGTTTCAAGTCCAGGCTGTCTGTCCAAATCATCCGCATGGCCCTCTGCTTCTGGGTCAATGCTATTCACCGAAATATCACCCATAGATATACCGTCTCTGTCTGCCATTGCTTCCCCTGCATCGCAAACATCTACTTCCAGAACATCCTCATTAGAATCGACTTCCTCAACCGTGTCCAAAGTCTCCAATGAATCAGTCTTTTCCGTCAGAGTACTCAACCTCCAATCCTCGTCGATGTGGTTACCGTCGTCGCTCTTCAACACTATATGCACCACATCTTGCGTTTTTAGACCATTTCCCTTGTCAAAAAAGACGCATTTCAAGCTGCCGTTGGCGTATCCTTGCCGGAGCGGTGTTGGCGTCCCGTTCTGGAAGAGTTTCTTGGGTTTAGGGGCGACAGATGGCTTGGGACCCCGTGACGAAGACATCAGTGGGGAGTGAGGGCTGAGTAGGCCGGGCGGAGAAGGCTTGCAGCAGTCTGAAACAACAACAGGAAAAAGGAAACTGTAAGATTGTGAACTTTTAAATAGCTTAAGGTCATTGGTATTGTGGTCCCACTTCTTTAGACCAACATGTTAGGCTTGTTTTATGCCTGGTTAACTATGAGAAAGAATATTACTGAGACTAGTGCTTGATGAATTGCTATTAGTAATGTCCAATACGTTGCATTCATGTTGTAGAATTGTTTTTGAAGGGGAAGGTGCCAATACAAATGTATGGGAAAGAAGCAGCTTTTAATAAATGTTGTTGGATCATTATTTGATAGTGATTAGATTCACAAAGTCTCCATGTTATTCTTAAGTCTGAAAGTCCTTTCAACTGGACAACATCATTCATATGTTTTTGAATTGTTATTACTTATAGACACCTTTATAAGAAAGTAATTAGAGAAGAGAGAGACCTGACAGAGAGACCAGAGAGAGACCAGAGCGAGAGACCAGCAACGAGAGAGAGAGCAGTGAGAGAGACCAGGGAGAGGAGAAAGCAGGGAGAGAGAGCTAAGTGATACCAGAGAGAGGAGAAACCAGAGAGAGAGAAGGGAGAGACCAGAGAGAGGAGAGAGTAGGGAGAGAGAGCTAAGTGACACCAGAGAGAGAGTAGGGAGAGACCAGAGAGAGGAGAGAGCAGGGAGAGAGAGCTAAGTGAGACCAGAAGAGGAGAAACCAGAGAGAGAGAGAGTAGAGAGAGACCAGAGAGAGGAGAGAGCAGGGACAGAGAATAGAGAGAGACCAGAGAGAGATCATAGTTGATATGTGCTACAAATATGATGTAGAACTTCATGACAGTCTTTGTTTCGTGTGGATTGATCCAAGATTAAGAGAGATATAAACTCATGACTGACTGACTTTTGACACTTAACATAGCGAACAGGAAATATTCTACGACTGCCCTCGACCACAATGTGAAACTATTGGCTCTTTGGAATATTGTGATGTCACAATAATGCAGACTATAAAAATAGTTGGATTTCAGCTGCCACCCCTGACTTTATTAAGTGAATCAATCTTGATTCAATACAGCATATTTCATCCCAACAGGTTACATATATAGTTTTATGACTCCCTCCTCGGTCTAATCTTGCAGCTTCTTTTTAACCTCATTATAAAGCTGTTTTATGTTTGTGTATCCCATTGTCCGGGCTAAAAAAAAGTACATTACATTGAGGGATTTCCCTGACTCACTTCCTGCGATTGAAGCCGGACAGGGCTCTCGGCTGCTTTTATGAACCTGAGAAGAATGGAGGCTTCGGTAAAAGGGCAAGCTCTCAAAAATACTCACAATAACGAACAAATGAAAAAAAGGATCACATTCTCACACTTCTCGTGGACTATCTAATGATTGTATGAAGGATAACTGTCCTACAACGAATTATGTAGCGTCAAAGTTACACTGTGTAAATTTTCTTGCCACCCAGGATTCACCCTGGTGTTGTGATTCATTGCTTAACACTGTGATCCGATTCTACTGTGTATTCTATTATTGTCTCTCTGTTCTGTTTCTAACATTGTGCTTAGTTGTCATGTTTTTTTATTGTTTTTCAATGTCAAATGCTTCTCTAGGGAGCGCTGTGAATTAGCTTCGGCTACAAGCACAGGATGCCTCCATCAGACTACGATACAGTACTATACAATACAATACCATTTATTCTTCTGTAGCCCTAAATCACAACAGCATCATCTCAGAGCACTTAACAAAACCATTGAAATCACCAACACAGATCAGAGAATCAACAATTAAGATACTAAAAATATAGAACACAAATGTATTGGTCCATAGGGAGAGACCAATGTCCATGAATGTTGATAAATGTCCATACATGATGTAGAATGTTAAAGTGTCTACGACAGTTTGTTCATGTTTTCTGTATCAGTCCCAATTAAAGACATATACAAAGAATAATTTCTATAAGACCACGTTTTCGTCCGACATCAGTGAGTTCACAAGTGCAGAGAACCGGGCCGGATCCACCAGAAACATATCCCCACTCTTCCTCAAGTCAGGTACAGTTACAGTACATTTGAGGTTCTTTGATGACATCAATAAATACCCAGATTTTTCTTTTCTTTTTATTATAGATTCAGATTCAGTTTATTTGCCATTTGCTGTAAAACCACACTGCAATCAATACATGATGCATAGATATATTACTGCTAATAATAGTAATAATTGTGAATGGGATAAAATCTGTTGCTATGGTCTATATGAGGTTCAAACTGACCAACTGTTGGGCTAAATGTTTTGTTGTTGTTGTTTATAACTAGCTGTGTAACTATCATTATCTTGTGTTTGTTGCCAATCGTAACCCATGAGTTTCTGAATGACCGGCAAATGGAATTTTTCACTTTAATAACCATTTAAAACAAAACAAAAAACGTCTGCCCAAATTAGGAAGTTGAAATCAATTAACATATTGTGACTGAGAAATTGCACAGAGTAAATGTATCTCTTGCTGGATGATTGTGATTGATGTGAGAGATGTTAGAGAAATAATAAAATGTGAAATCTCACCAGAGTTCATTCTGAGTCTTCGGTCTCTGTCATGTCGTCCACAGTCTCTCCAAATCCATGTGTGGTCTGGGATCCTCTCAGATCACAGCGCTCTGCTCCTCACGCCCCGATCTGACTGTGTGTGGAGGAGCCGCTCAGCTGATCACAAGCCCCCTCCCTCCCTCTTCCTCCTCTCCCCCCTCCTACCTCTCCTCTCCCCTCATCCTCCTCCTCTTCTTCCTCTAAGTCCAAGTCCAGTGCGCCACCATCACAGCGGGAGCCGCAGGTGTGACGGAGAGGAAAAGGGGTAAATTTAGTTTGTTGATGCAGAGTTAAAACAAAATTTACGCACTTTGGAAAAATTGGGAAACAATTTATGAATCTTGCGGCGTGGTTCCTTGCCGATGCAGAAGGGACGACCGTGATGGGATCTGGGACATTTATGCACATCTGTGGACAGTGGTCAGCCTGCTTCCAACGGACCAATGGCTCCTATGTGTTTGTTATTACTGTATTTCCTGTGTTAAAATTTTTTGATTTGCTAATCTGTTGTTGGCGATTAAACAACTTTGTAAAGTCCTCTGAGCTGTAGTGATTTAGGGCTGTACAAAAAGACATTGAATTGAATGAATGCAAAAAAAATCATTATGTCTTTGTTCAGGTGGACAAGACAAACGTGTAAAGAAGCCAGTATTGCTTACTTACCTGACAGGTGGTATACTTCTACCTTCATTCAATTTTGTAAGCCTGATATTGAATGAATCTAGGAAGGGAGATTGATATAGACAGGTTTAAAGTGACCACATTAAGCGCACCCGTTTATAAACCAGGCACATTATAAAAGAAAGTACATTAATTAATAATAATAATAATAATAATTTTAATCATTATATAAAATTTAAATAAATTAACAATGATAATTTTTTTGATGAGATAAAATAGTCAAAATGTTGCTATGGTGGAATAGGGTCACAGTGAAGAGGCCAGTCTGAAGATACATGTATGTGTTTTCACTAGGCAGCCGGGTTGAAAGTAAGGCAAGGTAAGGCAAGGCAAATATATTTATAAAGAAGAGGCTTATCATCCGGCCATTATGGTATGTCTGGTCTGTTCAACTACTTCACAAAAGATTCAGCCCTTGCTATAATGTTGAAAAACCCTGATTTATATTCTCAATAAATAACATCCTGTAATGATATCAACCAAAGCTGCTGCATTCTGTATTATCCACATCACATCATTTTGCTTGGAACAACTCAGTGTGACATAATATTATTATACAATAACAATAATAATAATAATAACAATTGTAAACCGCTTTGTGACTCTGGTCTGTGAAAGGCGGTATATAAATAAAGATTACTTACTTACTTACACCATTATACAGAGTTGCCTTGTGTATGAACTGTACAAATAAAATTGCCCTACCTTGCCTTATGTTTGAGTTTGACAGCTTAAAACAACAACATTTAGACCTGAGCAAAATGTAGAAGCAGAAATAGTCATGCTTATGTCCATATATGGTATGTTCCTTATACTGGCTTCTGTATATGACCCATCCTGTCATCTCTATGCTCATTCCATTCAATCCATTCATTTGTGTATAGCCCTAGATCACAACAGAAGTCGTCTCGAGGGACTTTACAAAGTTGTTGATTCCTTGACAGCAGATCAGAGAATCAAACTGTTCGAACACAAGAAATGCAATAATAACAAACATTATAGGAGCCATTGGTTCACAGGGAGCAGGGTGACCACTGTACCTAAATGTGAATAAATGCGAATAAATGTCCCGGATCAGCACTTTCCTTAGTCCCCCCTGCATCGGCAAGAAACCACTCAAAAAACCCAATGGGAGAAAGGTGAGAAACATCTGGGAGACCCATTTTAAGACAGGGATCCGCTCCCACAGATGGACAGGCTGATCCAGAGAGATGCCCTGCCTGGTATTAACTAAACATCCCTGGATATATTTTGGTATAGGTTCTGTGTTACTGAGGGAGTCCACACAGAAAAGCTCAGAAATCAACATTAAACTATGTGTCAGTCTCCAGCCCATAAAGTGTGACTGAATAGACCTGTTTTGTGATGTGTTTTCCTGCAGTTGTTTTCTGCTCTGTCTCTACATAACAGGAACCTGCTCTCTCTGCTTCCTGCTTCACATCCTCTGCAATTTATGGACCAAACCCTCACATTTTAACCCCTGCGTGTGGCTCTTTTGCCGACTGTTCCCATTACCACTCAGCTGCACAAGATTTATGACACTGTACACAATGCCCGGCCCACTCTACACACAAGACCACGGATTAAAATCAATGCCGGCTGCATTATGGAAACTATACAAGATTACAATTTAAGTCACACATTCTGAGGATTGGGAGGAGGACTGGCATAAGCTTTGTGCCACATGCACCAGATTTGGGAATATTTGGTGTCACTTTGAGGTCAGAGTCAATCCAAGCACAATGCAATCCACCAGGACCAGCACTTTGGAAATGTAGGTGAGAATCTGTGTGTAAGCTTCCAAAACAACACACAACAGGTCACAAAAATGAAGTTAGAAAGTGAAGAGTGTGACAATATGAGGCACTAAGTTAGTCAGAGATAGTGTAAATTATTTATTTTGTTTATATTTAATTATTATTTATTTGACATTGGCAATGTAGTAATATTTGCAGGGTGCAGCTCATGTGATACGCAGAGTGTATAGAAAATGCTAATTTTCAACAACAGTGCAACACATTATACAGAATGAATGAAATAGGCCTAGCCCTAAAACACATATTTACAACAGTGATCTAACATTAAACACATTCCCCCACCAATGACGGCTATACGGACAACACACACACACACACACACACACACACACACACACAAAGTACTCTTATTTACAAGTTTAGAAACGGGTGCATGTTTGGTTTGTTTTCAGCCACAGCTTGAGCTTTGATGTGAACTCCTTAAATTCTAATATGTTTTTCAGGTCAGTGGGCAGCGAGTTCCACAGTTTGGCTGTTTTTTATGCAGAAAGCGGACTGACCAAATGTGGTTCTCCTGCGTGAAATTGCACAGTTGAATTAATTCAATGTATTCTTGTATAGCCATAAATCACAACAGTATTATCTCAGAGAACTTTATAAACAATCCATTCCACTTTCTTTCTATACTATTTATATACCATTTTATAAAACAAGATTCCAAAGTGCTGCACAGGGATTACATTATAACTTTTAAATATACATGTTGGCCAGCTATAAATGTAAAAATAAAATAGAAGTAAAACCATCAATCCATTTCTTCCCCTTAATCCATTTCTGGGTCGGGGGGGTGGCAGTCAGAGCTGCACCCATTACACAGAGCACCAGCCCCTCACTGATCCTCCTGCAGGTGGTGAGTCCACAGGAGCTGAGATCTTTCAGCTGGGGCTTCAGGCAAAGTGGGGTTAAGTGTCTTGCCCAAGGACACAGCAACAACAGACCTTATTGGGAGTCGATGGAGAAGGTCTCATGGTGGTCTCTAACCCACGACCTTCAGGCTCAAAGGCCAATGCTCTACCAACTGAGCCACTGTCGCCCGCAAGTAAAACATTACGCACAAAGCAAACACAATAAAAATGTAATAAAAACATAGAATACCAGTTCAAAGACAAGAAATGCAATGGTGAAAAAACACATAACCATTGGTCCATAAGTAGCGGATGACAAATGTTCATAAATGTTGTTGAATGTCGAGTGTCCTGGATCATCACCAAAGTCTCACCCTTTATTTTCCTCATACGGAGATCAGTCTTCTGCTTTTGACCTGTCCTTGAAAACCACCAGGGTCTCTGTATTCTGTAGCTTAGGTCCTGGATCTACAGCCCGTCCGTCCATGTGGAGCAGATCCCTCTCTCAATGTGGGTCTCCCCGAGGTTTCTCACTTTTCTCCCACTGGGTTTCAGAGTTTAAGTTAGTGTCTAACAAGAAGGACTGTGGTATGTATGGACATTTATCAACATTCCTGGACATTGGTTTCTCCTATGGACCAATACATGTGTATTTTTTTGTGTCTTAACTGTTGATTTTCTGATCTGTGTTGGTGATTTCAATGGTTTTGTTAAGTCCTCTGAGATGACTTATGTTGTGATTTAGAGCTATTTAAGAATAAATTGTATTGTATTGTATCTCAGGTGGATTATACCTATTGTACATGTTCTTAGTAATAGGGGAAACCAGAGCGCACAAAGGTAACCTTAAAACACAGAGGGAACATGCAAACTCCTCTCATAAAAGTCCTACTGACCAGGATTCAAAACCTGCAGAACATTCTTCTTGAGAAGCGAGAGCGCTAACCACTCTGCCGACATGGTGCACAACCTATGAACCGAGCAGATGGACGGAGAAGAGGAGGGGTTTGTATCAAGATAAATATATTTACTGCTTTAGCATCAAATTCAGATATCTGTCAAATTGTGGTTTCACAGACCCATAGATGCACTTCCCCACAGAGGCATCCAAACAGATTCAGATCAGATCCAGATCAGATTCAGATTCAGATTCAGATTCATTTATTTGCCATTTGCAGTAAAACCACATTGGAAAACTGTGCAAGACTACCCCGGTGTGCACCAGAAGACGACACACACCAGAGCTCTTGCCACGGCGCCATTTTTACGCCACATCCAGGCCACCACTCTGCGAAAGACATTTTTTACTGATTGTATCCACCATCTTTATCACTAATTAACAGCTAATTAAGTGCTAATTAGTGTACCCTAACCCTAACCCACATGACAAAATGTCAATGTTGAACAAAGCCATGTATAAAAAGAACTAATACGTGCAGAATAAATACCAATTAAGAGCTAATTAACGCCATTTAGAGCCATGAATTATTACACTAATTAGCACTTATTTGACTGTTTATTAGTGAGGGCTCGACTAAAGTGCGACCACAATCTTTTCCTTGAACAGTCACAACCCAAAGCTCATGACCCCAGATCCTCTCTGGTGATGGGAGACGTTTGCGATTCTTCTGTACGCCTCTCTACCA